TTTTTTTTTTCCTTTCACGAGATGAAACCGAGAACAAAAGCAAAGCACACAAACATACCGCCCAAAAAGAAAAAAACAAAAATAGAACAAAGAAATCAAAATAAACAAAACGAAACAAAACAACAACAACAACAAAACCGATAAAAAACAAGCCGAGACGCTTTTCGCAATCGTGGTAATTATTCAGCGAAAAAAGGCCAGCAGCTTTTCTTCCTTTTTTTTTCCTTTCTTTTTTTTTAAATATGTACATCTTCCTTAAACGTTGAACGCCAAGGATCTTACCTAATAAATATATGTGTATACATAAGTCCCATAGGGTGTTAATTAACATAAAACATTTCCCATTCTACGCAGTCTACCTTGGGCGACCCTTTGAAAATTGATATAATTTTCTTCCCTATTTTCTGATCGGAAAATGAAACTGTGCTCCGATTCTTTGCGGAACATATAATTTTATTATTGTTACAGCCTTAGTAAGAACGTTGGGGTAACTAATTTGAACTTGTTATTTTTATCATCACTGCTGGCTTTGTTTTGTGGGCGCAAACTCGCTTGTGTTAATTGCCCGTTCCATTATGAGAAATGCAAATAAAAAAAAAGTTTTCGTTTTTAATATGTTGCGTAGGAAATAAATCCTTCTCAGTCTTAATTTTGTTTTTCGAGGATGATTTTCGATTAGTTCCATTTCGAAAACTATTTTTATTTTTAAAGGAAAATTTTCGCTCTTGCATCCTAGATTCATCCGAATTTTGTATCATTTTACAAAATTGGCTAAATAATCCTAACAGATAATGTTCAAATTTCTCCAACAACTGACTCAATGAAGCATCGAGTAAACAAAAACATGAAATTGGATCGAAGCGACATCATTCAAGATGCGATTGATTTCTTGGCTTGTCATCTTTTGCACATCTGTGACAAAATTTGGATCAGATCATGATCGAAGTATTTTAAGAAGGGCGTCAATTTCAAATCGATTTTCGAATCCTCTCAAAAATAAAAACTCTTTGAACAGCTGATTACATTTTATTCATGCATTTGACAAGAGAAAATTAGCATGCTAACGGTGTGTTTTAATTTTCCACAAAGTTCCACCATTATTTTTGTTTTCTATACTACTCGATGGCATCTTCTTTGATATGCCAATCAACTATTTTAAAGACTACCGATCGACATACCGTTTGTTTTTCACTACTGTAGAAAAATTAATCACTTTAAACACTGTAGGAGTGCTAAACATAATCATTTCGGTATGTCAGAAGTTTCTAACATTTTAGATCCTACCTTTTTTGTCATGTATATTTAGTTATGTTTCCTCAACGAACAAAAGTGCTACAATTGGTCAATATGCTAAGCAGGTGTTTTTATTGTTCCTTATTGGTACTTCCAAATAAACATTTCAATTTTTCGGGATGCTTTCCAAATCGATTCATTTCCTCTGCGACACGTACTTCCATTACATGTGATTTCATATCTTCCTTGCGATGTTTGAGAAATGCGTTTATCTCATGACTCTTCTAATGATATTTCTTGAGAGAATCGTCGCATTACAGCCTTCATCGAAGAACAATCACGTTTTACCTGGTTACGTTTTTAAACGGTTTCACACCAAAGATTGGTTATTCTGTATTCGAGCTTGTCACAATGAAGCAGGTTGTATCTCATACAACTACGACCGATCGTCTGGAGGCAATGGGCTGTGTGAGCTGAACGAATGTGGTCTTGAAGTCACTTGCGACGGCAATGGCTCCCTTAAATTTCTGATGGGCTTCCTCTTCCAGCAAATAAGGGAAGAAAAGGTCAGTAAAATCTCAAAGAGTTTCCGGTTGTGAATGATTGTATCGAAATTCTAATCTGATCTGTATCTTCCGTTTTTTAAACATTGATACCAAAACATGATACAAAGTTAACAGAAATATCTGAAGTAAAACCATAAGACATACTAAAAGATGTGAATACATTTCACAGGCATCCAAAAAGGTTCATTCCACTCTGTATGTGAATAAATTTCTCAAGTTAAAAATTATTTTGCTTCCGCGCAACCATAGAGACTGTCGTTTGGTACAAATTTTGGATAATGTCGATATAGTGCGGTTCTCTCGTTGCTTTCTAAAAGACTTTTTCAAACCTTTCTCACTATGTATAGCTTTGAGCTAAGTAGGTCACCGATTTCTTGATAAATTTCTGCTCTCAAGAGAGGCAAGGTCGCGTGACTTGTAAAGTGTTGCTAATTAACCAATTTTATCGCTGTCATTAGTGTTACAGGAGCTGTCTAGAAATTCAACATTACATCCCAGGAGCGCTGAGCGGTGTGTACAAAATTTATCCGATGTCAAATACTAAACCAATTGAAGTGTACTGCGACCTCGAAATTGCAGAGGGCGGATTCAGTTTCCTTCCTCACAGCCTTACTCTGCGATCAGATGCTCAGCAGGTTGTCGAAGTTCTATTCAAAGACAAGAAAAACGTTTTGCTGAAGTTGAAGAAAAAAGTCGATGGCAGCGAGTGGTACACTTTGATTCAGCCCCACCCAAATTACGCTGACATCGATTTTGGCGTCTTGGTGAACAACTACTCTGATTACACTAAACCAATAAACGCCTTCATGCAGAAATACGTATTCCTTGGCATTCTCCCTAAATCAGTGGCAAATACGGAAACAACCCAGGGTTTCAGATCTAATGGCATCATAGTACAGTTTGTGAACTGCGATGCCAATCCCAACAGCTTCTTTGCACTTTTTCCGAACCATCATCACCAATTACCATCTGATTATGCCGAGAAGTCAGGATTTGAAAGCAAGGGAATCGCAGTAAACTGGCGTTCCCATGCCAAAGCTGTCACTAGTGGCAGTCTGAAAATGCCAAATGAGTTCTTTTTCCTAGCAGAACTGCATTTTGGTGGCTGTGGCTGCTACACCTCCAGTGACCGGTGGAAGAAGTTTGGTTATAACGCCACTGCCATCGGAATTCGTTAGACTTACATATACTATCCTTTACCATAATGATCATCCAAGAAACCCGTAAAGCGTACCTCAAGATGTAAATTTACTCGGAGAATTTACTTCGCACGGGCAGGCTAATCGGCACTCCCACAGAAGTTTAAGGCGAGGGAAATTAATAGAACTTCGATCTGTTGCAAGATTCGATGTAAATGTTCAATATGGCTGCGCAAATCGACACTTTATTGGTTGTCCCTCCTGTGTGTGATGCGTTAACTTTGTCTGACGTCTAGTAGTCTGAGTACATTACATTACTTTTCACTGAATTTAGGAATACACTCTTGGTGAACGCACAACTAACAAGCAGACGTCTACTCTAACGTGTACAGGTGACGAAGATAAAAAAAATTGTAGTTAAAGTAAAATTAAAATTAAAAAAAAATTAAGACTGTCCGAAAATTAAATATAATTTAGTTTTGATAACACATTTGTATTGGATCTCGAGCACCGAGATGAACTGGTTTAATCAAGGGCAAACAAGAGTTCAGCAGTTGGGTCTATGATTGCAGTTAAGCTTGCTGCGTTTCTTCAAAGCTTGAATTGTGTTCAAGTATGAAATCTATGCTCGACAACGATTCAATTCAAGTCATACTCTAAACGTAACGGGGCTTTAAAATCGGAAAAATTCGTGATTCGACTTTGAAATTATATATAGTGAAAAGAATTTGCGGAAAAAGGTTTTAAATATAGGAAATAAATGAAATCAGTAACCCTCTCTAAAAATAAAGCAGGGTGATGCATGTATACTTTTGCGTCAAAAGTTAGTTGCCAGATTTCCAAATCCAAATTCTTTTAAAAATAAGAATCGAAATACCTTG